AAAAGGTTCTCTGAAAAATGAGCCAACAGCAAAAATACTCATACCCTTGCGTCTTTCTAAACCCTATGCTCGTTTGTTTTTGTTTTTTTTTTTCTTCTTCTCCCCTGTGCCTAATTTTTTATTCGTATTTTTTATCTTTAAAGACTTGAGTTACCTCCCCTTGTTTTCTTTGAGCGCTCCCCCGTGTAAATCTATTAGAACTTCCATAGCATATCGACTGTTACATATTGTAAAAAAAAAATAATCATCCTCATAGCGCAGTCTTGTATTAGCATGCTCTGATCCAAGAAAAACAGCATCGAATCAAACCCGGCGCCTTTGTTTCGCTTGTTTTTTACCAACGTTGTTTACCGATGGTTTTCTTTGTTGTTCTACGTTCGCCCATTTCCTCTGAGTAGTTGTTTCCCTTGCTCCATCGGCCGCGACGCCGGTGTGCAGTGGTGCGCAGCCTGGTGCAGACGGTGTGCATTGTTTTGGTCTACCGGACATGGAGTCTACCGGTGCAGTTGTTTTTGTTGTTGTAGTTGTTTTCTTGCAATTGTTAATCAATTCGTAGCTCACACAAAAAATTGGGTCCTTAATGGACGAAATAACAAGCGTTTCCGATGGTGTGACGTTGTAAAAGAAGTAGTTTTGTTGGAACGTATGATATAATGGAACATAAGTGATAAAATGGAATATAAGTGATGTATTGGAATAAAAGTGATATAATGGAACATAAGTGATGTAATGGAACGTAAGTGATATAATGGAACATAGGTGATATAATGGAATATAAGTGATGTAATGGAACATAAGTGATGTAATGGAACATGACAGCAATAATGGAACATAAAAGCTACGTATTAGGACATTACCCGTCAGTTACCACCACCATCATCCCCCTACATTACTCCCCTGTATATTACCCCACCCCAAAAAAAATGCAGTAAGACATTACCCCCATGTCGAATCTAATAGGGATGGAATTAGAGTTAGGGTTCTCGTTAAAAATACAGATATGTCCAGCAGTAGTACCGAGTTACGGTTATAGTTAGGGTACCGATATGGTGAGGTTAGTAAAAGTGGTTAATGGATTTAGCTTATTTGTTTATTTGTACTATGTCAGCCTATTTCGGACTTTTTACAGACTGCTTTAGACATTTTATAAAATACCAGTCGCTTTATTAATATTATGTAAAATAGGTACACTCAGTAGGGGTGGGGAAACGTCGAAGCCGCGTTAACAGTGTTGGGGGTGGGAATTATAGATTTCAGTTAAGGACTCAAAGTCTGGCTAGGTTCTTGACTCAAGGCGGTGATTTGGCTATACCAGAAGAGTATCATGATGCGTAATAAAATATTCCCCGAAACTAGTTCGCCGTATTCAAACGAGATTGATAAATCTCGTTTGAATACGGCGAAGTTGTTTCGTTATCTAACCGCGGTACTACTTTTATTATATTTTTTTTTCCAATCGTTTAAAACTGGCTGCCATGTTTGATGACGTCACCCGATATAGCAACCCGAACTTCAGCGATTGGTTGGAACAATGCCGGCAGTAGCATGAAAACTTTGGAGCCGAATGATGGCATGTTTTACAGTCGCTCCCCCCCCCCCCTTTGTTCTGGGTAACTCGGTTCGCGATTCTTTTATCTCGAGAGTTACGTCCCCTGCGGCAGGTTCCAATAGTTATGGCACCTCCCCCGTCATGTCATTTTCTCGTTAATTGTAAAAAGACTTTTTTTTTTCAACGATAAAACAGCAGAGTGATTGTTACAGTCATGGAGGTAAGATAGGTGAGGGTTAAAAAAAAAAAGGGGGGGGGGGGGGGTCTTCCATGTTTAACGCATTCAGCAATCAAAGAAAACAATACAATAATATTTTTTTTTAAGTTCAAAGTTAAGTTTAAATAGGGTCTACTTGTGTTTGAGGCATGCGTTTTCTTTGAAGTAGAATTCTCCTGTTTGAAGATATAAAACATAAAAATTGTCTGCATCGGATATTTTTGTATTGTTTATTACATAACGTAACAACAATTTCTTGCGATGCTTGATTGAACTTTGGAACTTGACTGGTGGTTCTTTATTTGTGGAAATTGTCTGATGGTACTTTATTTGAAATCCTGTTGTGGTACTTTATTTGAAATCCTGTTGTGATACTTTATTTGAAATCCTGTTGTGGTACTTTATTTGAAATCCTGTTGTGGTACTTTATTTGAAATCCTGTTGTGGTACTTTATTTGAAATCCTGTGGTGGTACTTTATTTGAAATCCTGTTGTGGTACTTTATTTGAAATCCTGTTGTGGTACTTTATTTGAAATCCTGTTGTGGTACTTTATTTGAAATCCTGTTGTGGTACTTTATTTGAAATCCTGTTGTGGTACTTTATTTGAAATCCTGTTGTGGTACTTTATTTGAAATCCTGTTGTGGTACTTTATTTGAAATCCTGTTGTGGTACTTTATTTGAAATCCTGTTGTGGTACTTTATGTGAAATCCTGTTGTGGTACTTTATTTGAAATCCTGTTGTGGTACTTTATTTGAAATCCTGTTGTGGTACTTTATTTGAAATCCTGTTGTGGTACTTTATTTGAAATCCTGTTGTGGTACTTTATTTGAAATCCTGTTGTGGTACTTTATTTGAAATCCTGTTGTGGTACTTTATTTGAAATCCTGTTGTGGTACTTTATTTGAAATCCTGTTGTGGTACTTTATTTGAAATCCTGTTGTGGTACTTTATTTGAAATCCTGTTGTGGTACTTAATTTGAAATCCTGTTGTGGTACTTTATTTGAAATTTTCTGATGGTACTTTATTTGAAATTTTCTGATGGTACTTTATTTGAAATCCTGTTGTGGTACTTTATTTGAAATCCTGTTGTGGTACTTTATTTGAAATCCTGTTGTGGTACTTTATTTGAAATCCTGTTGTGGTACTTAATTTGAAATCCTGTTGTGGTACTTTATTTGAAATTTTCTGATGGTACTTTATTTGAAATTTTCTGATGGTACTTTATTTGAAATCCTGTTGTGGTACTTTATTTGAAATCCTGTTGTGGTACTTTATTTGAAATCCTGTTGTGGTACTTTATTTGAAATCCTGTTGTGGTACTTTATTTGAAATCCTGTTGTGGTACTTAATTTGAAATCCTGTTGTGGTACTTTATTTGAAATTTTCTGATGGTACTTTATTTGAAATTTTCTGATGGTACTTTATTTGAAATCCTGTTGTGGTACTTTATTTGAAATCCTGTTGTGGTACTTTATTTGAAATCCTGTTGTGGTACTTTATTTGAAATTGTCTGATGGTACTTTATTTGAAACTGTGTTTGTGTATATCTGGTACTTACGCTTGATTATTTAAAATAACGTCTCGCATACGAGTCTCATTTTGGCATTGATCTTTAGTGTTGGTGTGTATTTTGGTTATGACGGGACTATTTTGTTGTTGTTTTAGTTTTCTCAATACAATTTGTGGTATCTGCAGGATCCGCCTGCACTAACACAGAACGGTATACCAGTCAATTTTGGCTGTAGTCAGTGTTTCTTTCAGACATTTTTTTCTCTGACCGGGGGGGGGGGTGGACACTGGTTGAAGTAATATTTTATAGATAAATTATATTTCGTTCGGCAGAGGGCGTAGGTGCAGGGAGGTAGAGGTACTTTAGGATAGGGCAAACACCCGCCCCCCTCCCACAATAGATGCCCAAAAGAAACTGACTGTAGATGTGCAATATTTCATGCTTAATTGTAAATATAACTTGATGGTTTCAATATAGCAGTGTCAGAGTATGTCATATTTGCCATAGATTTGTAACATCATCTTCGCCTTTTTCAACACCCAGTTGATCATAGGCCATTTACAACATCCGTCCATACTTCTCTGTCCCTGTGTTGTTGTTTTTATATTTTCCATTTCTCGTCAATAATTTTTTATTTCTGTTTCAATTTCCCTGCACTATGCATTTTTTGGGGTTTCCCTCCTTTCTTTAATTATTGTGCATTCCATTGTTTGTTCATGTTTAATGGTTACCATGAGGTCATTATGACCGTGTATGTCATTATTTTATGGGTATTTTTTTAACCATTACCTCAATATGACCGTTCGTGTGTGATATTATTTTGGGGGTACTTTTTTAAATATTTAATGTTTACCATGACGACAGTATGACCATGCTTCTTTCTTTTTTTCGAGTACTTTTTGAAAATATTTAATTTTATCTATGACTTCAGTATGACCGTGCGTGTCATTATTTTAGGTACTTTTTTTTTTTAACCCATGTCAGAATTTTTTTAACCACGAAGACAGTATGACCATGCGTGTCATTATTTTTTGGGGTACTTTTATAAAAATGTTTAATGTTTACCATGGGGGTCGTCCATAAATGACGGCACACTCGTAGGGGGGAGGGAGGTCCGTAATTTTGTGACGGTGTGTGATGAGGGGGGGGGGGGGTCAGATGGTGCGACGTCATACTTTTGCATTATAAAAAAGCAATGTTAGAAAACGAATTTTAGACGTTATTTTGCTTTTTAGAAAACTGTTTTAATAAATTGTAATAACAATTGATCAAATAGTCTATTTTGACAGAGTTCAGACAAGATTTTGGAAAAATATAGCTGTTTAAAAAAATTCAACTGCAATTTTGAGGGGGGGGGGGGTTGTAGGCTGAGTTGTGACGTCGTTTTAGGGGGGGTCTGGCTTTTGTGACGACGTGTGACGAAGGGGAGGGGGGGGAGGTAAAAATCGTCAAAAAAAGCGTGACGTCATTTATGGATGACCCCATGACATCAGTACGACAGTGTGCGTCATTATTTTTTAGGGTATTTTTTTTTTACCATGTCAATATGACCGTGTGGGTCAGCATTTTTTTGGTACTTTTCTTTTAGCCATGACAACAGTATGACCATGTGTTTTTTTTTTTTTTTTTTTTTTTTTTTTTTTTGAAAACCACATCATTATTTTTTGGTTACTTTTTATAAAATACTTAATGTTGACCATGACGTCATTTTGTCGCCAGGTCACATCCAGCTGAAGGAGGAGACGGTGGAGAACCTGCTGTCCACCGCCTGTCTGCTGCAGATGTCCGAGGTGGTGGAGGCTTGCTGCAGCTTCCTGATGAAGCAGCTCCATCCCTCCAACTGTATCGGCATCCGGCAGTTCGCGGACGCGCAAGGGTGCACGGACTTGTACAAGGTGGCCAACAACTACGTCATGGTAAGGCTGTGTTCACATGTCTTTGTGTGTGTGTCTCTTTGTGTTGGTGGGTGAGTGGATGTGTCTTTGTGTAGTGGGTGAGTGGATGTGTCTTTGTGTAGTGGGTGAGTGGATGTGTCTTTGTGTGGCGGGTGTATGTGTGTGTGTCTTTCTGTGGTGGGTGTGTGTGTCTCTTTGTGTGGTGGGTGTGTGGGTGTATTTGTGTGGCGGGTGTATGTGTGTGTGTGTGTCTCTTCGTGTGGTGGGTGTGTGTGTATTTGTGTGGCGGGTGTATGTGTGTGTGTCTCTTTGTGTGGTGGGTGTGTGGGTGTATTTGTGTGGCGGGTGTATGGGTGTGTGTCTCTTTGTGTGGTGGGTGTGTGTGTGTGTATTTGTGTGGCGGGTGTATGTGTGTGTTTCTCTTTGTGTGGTGGGTGTATTTGTGTGGCGGGTGTATGTGTGTGCATGGCGTGACGAGTGTTTCTTGGTGGTTGTGTGTGTGTGCTCACTTGTATCATTGTGTATGTATGTTCACCTGTGTATTTTGTGTGTTTGCCTGATTCAATTGAGTGTGTCTATTTTATGTGTTGTTATATTTAAGTGTGTATGTGCGTGAGATGGGGGGAATGGGGGTTGTGTGTGTGTCTGTGTGTGTCTGTGTCTGATTATATATTCATGGTTTATCTGTGTATTTTGTGTGTTCAAATGATTCAGCTGAGTGTGTTTGTTTAGTGTGTCCATGTGTGTGTACGCGTATGAGTGTTGGCTTTGTTATATTTGAATGGAAACTTTATTTTTGAAAATTCAAAATTTTAGAAAAGAGATTTTTCGTGTAGTTGAATTTTAAAAATATATTTAAGCGCCTTTTTTAATGCCACCATTGTAATGCTTGTGGGAGAGTGTGGAACGTAAATTAAATATCAAGTGTATGCGGTTATAAACGATTGTTGTCTATTTGTAGATTTTAAAAAACCTTAAATCCTTTGCATTAAGTTCTTTGCTGACTACATTAATTGCGTTTTTGTTATTGAATCTTGTGAATCCCTTGAGTGCTTTTCTCGTGTCGTTTTGTCCTCACCAACAGAACACAATGGTGGAGGTCGTGAGAAAATCCCTTAAGTGCTAATCTCATGTAGTTGATTCTTACCCCTCCCTTCCAGTGTTTCTTTCAGACATTTTTCCTCGGGGGATGATGAGACATGAAACTTGGGGGAAGGGTGGGATACTGGTCAAAGTATATATTCCCTATAGAAATAAATAAAAAAATTATTTTTCTATTTCGTTGGAATTGGGGGCAGTGGGTGTGTTTTGAGGGGTGGGGAGACAATGCGCCCTCCCTCCGAAGATATGCCTGAAAGAAACTCTGCTTTCCCCAACCTTCCCACCCCCAACTTTACATATTATTGAGATGATCAGAAAATCCCTTAAGTTGTGATCTCATGACGTCTACTTTACTAAGGCCTCCCCCCCCCCCCCTCCCCCCAACTGTACAGATTATTGAGATGATCGGAAAATCCCATAAGTGTTGATCTCATGACATTTATTTTCGCCTCCCCCCCCCCCCCCCCCCCAACACCACCCACAGGACAGGTTCGTGGAGGTGATGCAGAACCAGGAGTTCCTGATGCTGCCCTGCGACGAAGTCTGCAAGCTGCTGGCCAGCGACGACCTGAACGTGCCTAACGAGGAGACCATCTTCGACGCCGTGCTCAAGTGGGCCAGGCATGACCTCATGATGAGGAAGAAATCTCTGGCCCTGTTGCTGGCACATATCAAGCTTCCCCTGATGGCGCCTCAGGTTGGTACCCGTTCTTAAGTGGTGGTGTTTTTTTTTGTTTTTTGTTGTTTTTTTTATACTTGTAGGTGCTACTCAAGCTAAATCACCCGCGCTGTGAATTTGTAATCACAAAAATCTATCTATCTATCTATCTATCTATCTATCTATCTATCTATCTATCTATCTATCTATCTATCTATCTATCTATCTATCTATCTATCTATCTATCTATCTATCTATCTATCTATCTATCTATCTATCTATCTATCTATCTATCTATCTATCTATCTATCTATCTATCTATCTATCTATCTATCTATCTATCTATCTATCTATCTATCTATCTATCTATTCATCCATCCATCCATCCATCCATCTATCTATCTATCTATCTATCTTTTATTATATAATTCACCACCACGCACGCCGACTCTTTACCCTCCTCTCGCCCTTTCCCTCGCTCTCCAGGCATGCGAAACAGCCAATTCATTAATTTTTAATTAATTCACCATTTTAATGCCGTAACATGTAGCTTTATGATGTCACATTCCATTAGCTGGTTGTCTACCTGATACCTGAGTCAACAGGTGCGTAGTTCACCTGGTTGAAACTGTCCAAGTACATTACCATCACCTCCCTACAAACCTACCTGCACTGATATAACTGTCACAACTCATCAGGACCAACTGCTCTTACACCCAGTGCACATAAAACCAATTCTCCCTGGGGGAAGAGGGGGTCCATAAATGACGTCACACTGTTTTGGACACTTTTTTATGATTTTCAGCTTGCCCCCCCCCCCCCCCACCTAGTCACACGTCGTCACGAAAAGCCAGACCCCCCCCCCCCCCACCCCCTGCCCCTACAAAGACGTTCACGCTAACCTACACCCCTTCCCAAACAAAAAATTACATTTTAGTTGTTTATTTTTTTTTTTTTAAGATAAAATATTTTCTAAGGTTGGTCAACATTGAGTATATAAATCATGTTCTGCTATTAGAATTCACAAAAACAGTCTTCTCAAAACGGCTAAAATTCAGTTTCCAACATTACTTTTTTAATGCAAATGGGTGACGTACACCCCCCCCCCCCTACTCCCCACCTTTTCGGACGACCACTAACATCAACTTCAAGTATAATCAGAAAGTGTTAATCGAGTACAATCAGCAACTGTTTACCTTTCCAGTTTATCGCGGACCACGTAGAGACCAACAGCCTATTCCATGACGACAAAGAGTGCCAGCAGCTGATTATGGAAGCCCTCAAGTACCATTTGTTACCAGAACGACGATCATCATTCCAGTCTCCTCGCACCAAGCCCAGGAAGTCTACGGTGGGTGTTCTCTACGCTGTTGGAAGTATGGAATGCACCAAAGGTAATTTTTAATTATTTTTTTACTTTATTTATCTTCCTTTGTGGTCATTTTAATTTTGATTTTACTTTCTATTACTAGACACTGGGCATATTTTTAAAACTTTGTATTTTGCTTTGTTGTCTCCCCTGCTATAAAACTCTCTGTAGTTTACAAGAGTTACCTAACTTACCTCTAGTCCGGACTGCACATTTTTAAAAATAAAAAACGAAATTCTTTATTCCCTAACATAACTTCTGGGATATTTACTTAATAACTATTATATAATTGTAGAATAACTTTTCTTTAGTTTGCTATTTTAAAATTGATATGAGTTTTAACAGAAATTACCTACTAAATGAGTTTTACAGAAATTTCCTGCTATACATATTACATTAAATTTGAGTTTAAATCAAAATTAAATACTATATGAGCTTAACAAAAAATTACCAACTTTACAAGTTTAATTAAAAAAATTAAATATTTTATGAGCTTAACATTATATGAGTTTAACATAAATCACATACTTAACATAAATTTACCAAATTTTGAAGTGACCAATAAAATTACTTAAAAAACTCTTCCCTTGTTTCTCTTGTGCCAGGTCCAACAAGTATAGAGAAATATGACCTGCGGACAAACACCTGGACGCAGGTAGCCAACATGTCAGGTAGACGTCTGCAGTTTGGGGTGGCTGTTCTGGAGGACAAGCTGTTTGTTGTGGGGGGACGAGACGGTTTGAAAACGCTGAACACGGTGGAGTGCTACGACCCTAAGAAGAAAACCTGGACCTTGATGCCACCCATGTCCACACATAGGCATGGCCTAGGTGAGGGGATGTAGTTTTATAGCTATTGTATGGATAATGTGAGGAATGTTGTATGGATTATGTGAGGGGTGTTGTTTTATAGCTGTTGTATGGATAATGTGAGGGGGTGTTGTATGGATTATGTGAGGGGTGTTGTTTTATAGCTGTTGTATGGATAATGTGAGGGGGTGTTGTATGGATTATGTGAGGGGTGTTGTTTTATAGCTGTTGTATGGATTAGGTGAGGGGGTGTAGTTTAAAGGATGCTGTATGGATTAGGTGAGGGGTGTACTTTTATAGCTGTTGTATGGATTATGTTAGTGGGTGTAGTTTAAAGGATGCTGTATGGATTAGGTGAGGGGGTGTACTTTTATAGCTGTTGTATGGCCTTAATGAATGGAATTTTGTTTGATAGCTATTGTAAGGTTTGAGTGAAAGATATTTAAGGCATTGTTGGCATGTATGTGAGTTTTAGAGCCATTGTTTGTTTATGTGAAAAATTTTAAAACCATTTCATGATTAAAAAAAATAAAACGGAACATGTACCATGTCAACAAGCTAATTTTTGTTCACATTAACCTCTAAAAATGACTATGAAATATTAAACATTTTAAAATTTTGTAATCAAATTAAATTTTATATCAAATTTAAATTTAATCTTTAATTGTAAATTATTAATACATCTGAATTAAATATTTTATAGTTGCTACTATAATGTGCTCTGTGAATTAAAATGTGTTAAAATATAATTGACAGGTGTGGGGGTGCTAGAAGGACCTATGTATGCTGTGGGTGGACACGATGGCTGGTCATACCTCAACACAGTGGAGAGGTGGGACCCTCAGGCCAGACAGTGGAGCTATGTGGCCCCCATGTCCACCTCACGCAGCACTGTAGGGGTGGCCGCGCTACATGGGAAGTAAGTTCACAAGTTGTCTCTCTTACTAAATAAAAGCTTTTGAAATTTATATTATGGGAGGTAAGGCCATAAGTTGTTTGTCCTGCTAAGTTAAATGTTATAAAGATTGTATTATGGGAGGTAACTGCTTGCTTTGATTCTTTCCTGCTAAAAATATCTTTTGACATTAAGTGAAGACCCCCAAGTTGATTTTCCTGCATGTCATATAATGAATTTAAATGTTTGTGTTAAATTTAACTTTTTAAAATTTATTTATTACCAAAATGTTTTGAAATACACAAACTGTATTTTAATCTGTTTCCTTTAGGAATGTATCTGTAATGTATCTATTAATAGCAATTTAAAACTCTTTGAAGATGTTATGTTCCAATTCATCTTACTCTGGTTATGCTATTTCAAATTCTTTTTAAAAAGAGTTTTTTTACTTAAAAATGTTCATTTAGAATATGCTCAGTCCAATAATTGATTTTCCATTTGGATACCAAAACTCATGTGTAAAGATTTTTTTTTGTCATGTTTTCTGCTGAAAATGTAACTTATTTACTGCTGGACTTTCTTTTAAAAAATTAATAACTTTCAAAAATTGATAAAAATATTAATTTCTTGAATATTGAAATAATTATTTTTTAAAAATGTTCCAGGTTGTATGCAGTAGGTGGCAGAGATGGAAGCTCCTGCCTTAAGTCCGTGGAATGTTTCGACCCTCACACAAACAAGTGGACACACTGCACACCCATGTCTAAGAGGAGGGGAGGAGTGGGCGCGGCCAACTGCAATGGTTTTCTTTATGCGGTTGGCGGATACGAGGCTCCAGCCACAAACCCAACAAGTAGCCGGTTTGATTGTGCTGAAAGGTATGTTTTTGATATGTTTCTGCTGAAAGGTATGTTTTTGGTTTGATTGTGCTGAAATGTATGTTTTTGGTTTGATTGTGCTTAATAGTATGTTTTTCATTTGATTTTGCTAAAGGTATATTTTTCTTTTGGTTGTACTGAAAGGTATGTTTTTGTTTGATTGAGCTGAAATGTAGACTTTTGCACTAGATTGCACTAAAAGAAATGTAATTTTGTCTATCCCTTATACATTGATTTATGTTTGGCAATTGAGAAAATCTGTTGGATTTTTTAAGTTTGGCAGAGTGCATTATGCCATAAAGTTAGATATGGATAATAATTTCAACGGTCAAAATAATCAGGAAAAATAAAAAGCTTATTTTACAATGCTTTAAACATTTACTTTACATAATTTTTATGCTGTATATTTATAAATAGGAATTTGTTAATTAAAATGTTAATAATTTTTTAATAATTGCTTTTATCAAGGTATGATCCTAAAACAGACCAGTGGACGATTATTGCCCCTATGAGCAGTCCAAGAGACTCTGTGGGGTTATGTCCCTTAGGTGACAAGTTGTTTGCCGTGGGTGGCTATGATGGGATGGCTTACCTCAATGATGTTGAGTGCTACGACCCTGTGACTAATGAATGGCTGAAAGTAAGTGATCTTTGATGTTAAGAAAAGTTTACTAATAGTAGCACTTGAATGTCAGGGTTTTAAAAAAAAATATTCTTTAGGACCCAAGAGGGCTTGAAGAAGAGTTTATAAAATTCTATTGCAAAGCATTTTAACGATTATATACTCAAAATGCCTAAATGGAGTTGCATGGAAGATTTGTCTTGCATGCTTTCTTTCAATATAAGAAAGCAAACACATTTGATCAAATAGTAATGAACCCTGAAAATGACTTTTTATTTAAGCACCTATTCAATGTGTAAATAAGCTCAAATATGAACTGTTTTATTTTAAATGTTTGTCTACATTACTAATTTTTAATTTCTAAGTAAAACTAATTTATTTTATTTCAAATTGTATTCTAATAAATGACTTAAAAACATAAAAAAAAAACACTTTTATTCTGGATAGGTTTTATACTTGTTTTTTGCAGTAAAAATCTTTTTACTTTAACAAGTTGTTTTAATGATAACATTATCACAAGTAACACTTTTATACTATTGCCAACAGGTAGCACAGCTTTGCACTGGACGAGCAGGGGCCTGCGTTGTCCATGTGCCCAACAGCTGACTAGGGAAGAACTGCAGCGCCACCTACAGGGCCCACGCTCTAGCATTGCTCAAGAAATGGCCGTCTGGACTTTTCGCCCTCCACCAGCCTCACACAAGATTAGCTGTTTGGAAATAAAATCTTTCAGAAACTTTATCTATTGTACAAATGGAGGAATTATAAAACAAAACAAATTCTAAATTTCTATTTCGAATTTATTTTTTTTAAAATACCCAATTTTAAATGTGTGATTTAATTATTATTTAACAACAAACTACAAAGTTTAAGAAAAATTGATATGAAAATGAAATTTAATAAAATTAATTAATTAAATAATATTTAATTTCTTGTTACTACTATATGGAGCATTGCAGATGGATGCTGGACTAAAGGCGACTGCAGTTGTTAGATTTAAAACAATTACTGTCACTTTTTTCTCATTTCACATGTTAAACTATTTAGAATCAATTTTATGGATTATATTTTTTCAAATTAGAGTTTTCGTATGTATTTTAACGCAATTGATGTCAAAGCATGTTTGAAATAGAATAGACAATTTTGTTAATGTCATTTTTTAGTAAGTTTATCTTAACTTAAATGTATTAGTATATGAAATGTTTTTTTTTTTTAAAATAGCTTAGTTTATATAGATGGAATGTGTACACTTTCCTGTTGTGTGCAATATCTCTGTTGTAAATTAAAAGTTTACTTTGTGAAGGTTTTAAATTCTGATGGACCCTTTGATAAAATGATGGGTCAACGTTTGCAAAAAATTCAAACCAGTGTTTTAAAGAATGTTCTCAAAAAAAAAATTCTTGAAAAAAGCCATCATATCATCTCAGTAGAGTAACAAATTGTGCGACCATGATGAACAATTACCTCATAGGAGCACTCATATTCTTTTAGAAATTACATTGATAAAACTTTTTTACGACTAATTTTCCTATGGTTTTATTTTTAAACCCTAAATCTTGGAAAAGTTACCTGCTTGTTTAATTGACCAACTAACACACATTTTGTAATTTTTTTTTTTTTAATTTCATAGCTCCATTTAATTCATGGGGCCATATTTTAGTTGTAAAAGTGGTCTGTTTTGTAGGTCAATTTGTATGGCAGCTAGATCACTTGTGCTTGATTTTCACAATTTGCACTATCTTTTTTTTTAGCATTACCTACACTAATGGAAGATGAATCAAACATTCCATTCACTTTGATAATGACTTCATCCTCAGCTCAGCATTAAGATTGTAACTCATTCACATGATGTAACTATGAACAACATCTTCATTCTTAATATCGATTATAATTGTAAATTAATTTCATCATTTTTAAACAAAACGAAATGCCTTCATTAAAATTTATTCAAGGTGAAGGTAAAACTTTATTAATAATTTTTATTTTTTTTATTTAACTTCACTTAGACAATATTTTCATTTATTTTCTGTATCATTTTGTAGTGTAGCGAGAAATTTTTTTTTTCCAGCCTATTTTTTCTTCTAAACATTTTTTATAAGTCTTTTTTTCCTCATAATCTTAGCCAGAATGTTATTGTTTCATTGCTGTGTTTTACTTTCAAATTGCATGAAAGCTAAATCCAAGCACTGATTAGCAACAATGTTTACATAAAGTAGTTGTGTCACTTATACTGCATCAATGTCTCTCCATATTCAATGTAGCATTTTTAACTGTTAGTGACTGCCTTGTACTTCAACCACTGATTTAACTCTGTCAGGGATAAACAGTGATTTATATATTTTTTTAACAACTCTTGTAAAGTGATAAATGAGCTATAAATATATTTGCTTTGTGATCAGTTTTGTTTTATACATAGGCTTAATAGTTGTTTTTTTTTTGTTTTGTTTTTCTAAAAAAATATTGAAAAGATTTTTACCTAAATATCTAGATCTAAAAGCACCAAGAAATGCTTTTCTTAAAGAAAAATTTAAATAATTAAAAAAAAAGATAGCTAATAATGTTCATGAGAATGCTACAATCTGTTCTGTTTAAGAATTTATCAACAGCTTATTAGTTGCACTAAAGCCAAGCACTATTACCCGTCACTATTTTAGCAGCATGTTAAGAAATTACAGTAGAAAAGTTCTTTTTTTTTTGTAATAACTGTTGCTCTACGAAACCATTTCATGATATTTTGCATATCACCAGATATTTGTGCCTTAGATGAACCATGTCCTAGAGAGCAGTAACATGCTTTGTTTAAAAACCTACTGTTCACAGTACTGTATTCTCTTCACTACATTGCTTGCTTGTCTTTACAATGCAGAGAAAGATAATTAGCATCACCATTCATCATTTAATGCAAACTGTATAAAGTAAGTACTGGGTGTATCACACTACACTTTTTCATTCAAATTTTGTATTTTCAGTTAAGAGTAAACTTTTTGTTTTCTCTTAACAGTTTCGTTGACCAAATTTATACTATTGGAAATACAGTTATCATTTCGTTTTTGAATTATGTTTTTCTTTATGCAAGTAAAAGACATTTCAAGCAACGTGTAAACAATGATGAATTGGTTGTTTTGCCGATTCTACTAAACTTTTGGTATACTATTATGTTTATATTTTTTCATTGTAATTCAAATATATGACAATAGCTTGATACTCACTGAATGAGATTATTCCCAGATAATTTATGTTAATTTGTATGTCACTCATAACATTTTGTGTGGTACGCATTTTTTTTTTACACTTGTCCTCCACATTTCTTTACCCATCATTTTTGACTTCACAGTGTTAGTATTTCATAATTAAAAACAAAACCTGCTTTTTGGTAATACTTGTGTTCCTGTCTAATTAATCTAAATGTAATTGAACAATTTGTAGTTAAATCGCTTTTTTTTTTAACTTTTACATTTCTTTATAATATTTGATGTTTGTTGTAAACAATAAAAAGAAAATTAATTTTTTAACTGAATTATTTGATTTTTTAAAAAAAATTGCCTAATCAGCAAAAATACTTCAGAAAATCACATATATGTTGAATATAAGGCAGAAAACTGAATTTCATAAAATAGATCTTATGCATAGAAAGATGTCTACTTTTATCATTAATCATTGTTTCACTATAAAAATTCAGTATCAATTATATTTTTTTTAAATCCTGTTCAACCTTACACTGCATTCTTAGTATTTAAATCCTGTCCATTATAAACAAATTTACAATTTTTCTTCACACATTTTACATAACCATTTAATAGATATTCAATTTATTGCATTCATTTCTTTAATGATTTTGTTTTTATTAACAATTTTTGTAAAATTTAATATTGTTCCCTGTATGTTTGACTGCGCTATTAATTCTAACACAATGTTTTTAAATTAATTAGACCTCTTTCTTTAAAATACTAACTTAATTTGTGTTTAGACATTTTTAATAAGATCATTTTGAAAGAACAATTAAAGGTGCCTTATAGAATTCATTATTTAATTGCCAATTTCAAAACCATTCAAGATATTTTTATATTGGCAGCGAAGCTGTGTTCTTTAATCTCCTGTTTTGCATAAATTATAATAATTGGATATTGCAAAGAAAACTATTTATGATACATAATTTGCCTCTGAATATCTGTGTGTGAAATTAATTAGTTTTGTTTAATTCAAGCTATTTTCATGCATATCATAATTTATCAAGTGAGGTTAAAACTAATGTTATTTATTGCTGAAACTTTAAAAACTTGTACGGTTCAAGTTTTAATATATATAAAGTTTTATTATAACGAATTTTTGTAATCTAATCTTGGAATCTATTGTCTGGTTTGTATAAAACAAATAGACTACTAAATTTTAAATATTTCTAAAAATAAACCATTGACAAATTTAACAAGTAACATATAAAAGAAAATGTAGGATTGGAACAGTTTTTTAATTCAATAAAAAAAAAATCAGTCAACATTATTTAATTAATTATGATGTTACCACACCAAGCCAGTTGAATGTTTTCAGTATCAATTTCTTTGCTACTGAGATTTTTGTTTCATTTTTTTTTCTAAAAGGTCGAACGTTTTTGGTGGTTTTATTTCTTTGTGATCTTTATATCATCAGTCAGTTCATGTCATGCACATGTCATCTTTTGTCCTTCCGTTCTCATTTTGGACATTTTATGCTCATACTCAATGAGTGTGAACAAATTTTATATTTTGTAAAATAAAGTTGGGAAAAAATATTTTGTTTTCTTATTTATTTGATGCAGATGTGTATGGATATATATATATACAGCCTATATATATATATATAGAGAGAGAGAGAGAGATAGATATATATATAAATATATATATACATAAATATAGATAGATATATATACATATATATAGATATATATATACATATATATATATATATATATATATATATATATATATATATATATATATATATATATATATACATATATATAGATATATATAGATAGATATAGATATATATATATATATACATTATATATAAATACATATATATGGATAAAGAGAGCAAAAGAGATACATATAGATCTAGATATATATATATATATATATATATATATATATATATATTTATATATATGTATATACATATATATATATATATACATATTTTTTTATTTTTTTTTGCTACCAAATTTTTTTTAATTTCATTTTTAATTTACAATATGGCAATAATGGTACCTCATCATAATTACAAAAGTGGATGTACATAGTGATGATTTTTATGTTGCGGGTACATACTAGTAGGTTTGTTATCAATTACTATGGTTTCCTTGAGCCTTGAACTATATAAACAATACATCTACTATCAATAAGTTACAAACAATTCCATCTATGCAACATTCAAACATACCAAACCGGTCTTGAGTTTTATGTAAAAAATACTAGTGTCAAAGAACATTATTTTGTAGCTTGTTCTAAATAAGCAATCAAGTCATTACGTTCATCAGCCTTCTTTAGGCCTGCAAAAACCATCTTTGTGCCAGGTATATATTTCTTTGGGTTTTCAAGATATTCAAAAAGGGTATCTCTAGACCAGGTAATACCTTTGCTTTTGTTGGCATTTGTGTATGAAAACCCCTCCGCCTTTCCAGTAGGACGTCCAAAAAGACCATGTAGATTGGGCCCTGTTTTGTGTTTACCACCAGCTTCTACAGTATGACACTGCGCACATTTTTTAACAAATATATCTTTTCCCTTGGCAACATCTCCCATTTTTTTAGTTGTGTGCTATTAAGATTTCTAGATCTAGGTCTAAAAAGTCGGTGACTGTCGGAAGGCTGCCTTTATAGGCCTTGTGTATACAAATATATAAGTATATATAATATTGTTGTTTTCTTGAGTAATCTTTTCAAACAACTAGAGGAACATTGAGTGTGGTAATGCACTTGATTTCTGCCAACACAGGGCCCTCAAGTTTAGTTACTGGTCTCAATAACAACCTCAATGACACATTTGATAACAATACCAAAATAAAACTTTTTTTTTCAACTTAATAACAAAAATAACTGCAAACATTCAGTTTTATAAAGACCGTATTATCTCCCTTCCCCCTGTTCACATGGCCAAAAAAAAATCCGACCCCTCCAACCTAAACTAAGAGATGTCACATGTGGGCGTCAATTTAAGTTTGTACACATGGACCTACAGTACCACACCGAATGGATTCGTCCTCAGAATACCACTCTGTTGAACAACACCAGTATTGTATTGAAGTTTGTCTGCAGGAAATATAAATATAGAAAATAAAAACTCCAACTCAGAGGCGTAGCGACCCTCCCCGGCGCCCGGGGACAAAATTTCGATTTGCACCCCCCCCCCCTCAAACTTTTCATTTGCCCCCCCCCCTAAGGTCGGCGCCCGGAGACATATGTCCCGCCCCCCCTCGCTACGCCTCTGGGTGGAATTGACCTTGAACGTTGTAGGAAGTGGAGGAGGAGTGCTGTGTAAAATAGCCCGTGCAGAGTCAAAAAGGCCAATGGCAAAACGGCCCCGACATAAGAGCCCCGTCAAATCAGCCCCGTCAAAAGAGTCAACGACAAATGGACCCCTAATATTGACTCCCCACAAATAGGTTCCCGACATATCGGCTCACGACGAAAGGGCTCCCATCATATCGGCTCCCAACAAATAGGCTCCCGTCATTTAGGATACCGACAAATAGGCTCGCATCATTTAGGCTCTAGACAAAAGTGCCCCTGTCATTACAATTCCCGATAAATAGGCTCCCGTCACTTTGGCTCCCGATAAAAGGGCCCGTGTCATTGTGGTTTTCGTAGAGACAAAATCTCTCGGTGAAACGACCTTATTGAACATGGCAGTGGCGTAGCTAGGGAAGGGCGGGTGGGCTAACGGTATAGTAACTGGTAAGAAGCGCCACAACCTTTTGCAAAAATTTCAAGTGCTCCCCCCCCCCCCCCCCGGAGAAAAATGTCTGGAAGAAACACTGGTTATCTAAGTCAACACTCTTAAATAATTCAAAGTATGCATCTCTTGTGTATAAGAAATAGTATCTAGCTATGACTTCCACCAAATGAATTGGTTGTAGGCTGTTCCAACTCAGTGTGTGGGGAGAGAGGTCCCCGCTGTTTGTTCCTACCTTCAGTATGCTTGTAGGTTATCAAGGGGTCGTCCATAAATGACGTCACACTCACAGGGGGAGGGGGGTCCGTAATTTTGTGACGGTGTGTGACGAGGGGGGGGGGTTCAGATGGTGCGACGTCACACTTTTGCATTATAAAAAAGCAATGTTAGAAAACGAATTTTATACGTTATTTCGCGTTCTAGAAAACTGTTTTAATAAATTGCCATAGGAATTGATTAAAATACTCTATTTTGACAGAGTCCAGACAAGATTTTGGAAAAATATCGATGTTTTAAGAAAAAATCAACTGCAATTTTAAGGGGGGGTTGTAGGCTGAGGTGTGACGTCATTTTAGGGGGGTCTGGCTTTTTGTGACGATGTGTGACGGAGGGAGGGGGTAAAAGTCGTCCAAAAAAGCGTGACGTCATTTATGGATGACCCCCAAAACAAAATGCCGTTATCCTGTAAACATCATGTATATTATACATTTAAACTTGCTTTTAACAACAGATCTTCACTGTTGTAAATTAAACATTATCAACATTTTAACATTGGTCGAATTTTGCTGTTAAGGGTTCGGTTTGTTTATGAATTGCTATTTGTTCATTTAAACCTGGTTATAGTGGTAGTGGAGGTAGGAACTGTGTGTAGTTGGTGGGTTGGACAAAATGGTTACGTTTAATATGCCAATAGAGGGCATACGATTCATTTGTCTGGAGCCAATATGTCGGAGTCATTTTGTCGGGAGCCCATTTGTCGGGAGCCTTTATGTTGAGAGCCAATATGTCGTGGGCTTATTTGTCGGGAGCCTAAATGTTGGGATCCCATTTGTCGGAAGCCTATTTGTCGCGAGTTAATATGACGGGAGCTCATTTGACGGGAGCCAATATGTTGGGGCCCTTTTGACGGTGCTATTTTGACTGGGTCGTTTAGTCGGGGGTCGATTTGATGGGGTTTTATTACCTGGGCTGTTTGATCTATCAGATCTATAAACTTTAAAGATTTTTTATCCGGATTTTTTTTCTAGAAACTTCGTTTAAGAACACATTTTTACATTAAAATTAAATGTCATAAAAATTAAAATATAGAACAGATTTATTTTTAAAATATAAAAAAAATTATAGTGATAGGCCCACATTTCTCCCAATTTTGTAAAGGTCGGTGGAGATTGGGCGCAAATCCTCCTAGCTAGCTGACAGTTTTCTATAAAAATATCTTTGCTTTTCGCGCATAGATTTTATTTCATTGTCGTATGTGGTATTTACACCGCAAACCAAGAGAAATAACTCTTAAATTATTTTTCAAAATGGCTGAAGACGTACTTAGATTTTTGATAGCTAGTGAGCCTGAATCAGATAATACGTTAAATAAAACAGATAAAGTGTTGGAGATGTTACTGAAACATTGGTGCAATCAACAAATGCTTCTCACAGCCCTTCTTGATAGATATTCAGTAATATTGAAAGGGATAAGCGACTTAGAAAATGCGATAATGGAGGAAGTTGAAAATGATATTTTTGGGCCGAATGGTGAAGTTGACCCTCAAAAACTGGAAGCATTAGAAATGTTAGTTTTGTACATCATAGTCACTGACATAGTCATAGATCTAGATTAGTATAGATCTAGATCTACATCTTCGTTATAATTTTAAATATAGAAATAATGCTATTTTTATAGTTAATAATTTAGCATGATTAGATAGCTGCATTCATGGCAAATTGATATTATCATATTATTATCATATTATGATATTATCATTATTACATTACAAAATGAATTAGAATATAAAATATTTCACAAATTTTTTATTTAGAAAAAAAAATGAATAAATAAATTTAGATAGATCTAGACTAGAATCTATGTCCTAGACCTATAGAATAGACTAAATTATCAGTAGCCTGTTGTCTAGTGGCAGAATGAAAATTACCTCCGGTCTAAATATTTAAATAATAGTTTGGGACTATTTCTTTTTTATGATAATGTTAAGGTGGGAGGGGGTGGGGTCTTACCATGATGCTTTGCTGAATCTAGTATACCAAGCAGCTTGGTTTAAGAAATATTAATGTAAAAATAACAAACTTAAAGAAAGAGACAACACATAGCAATGTTTTTTTAAACAACGTTAGATATTTAACACTTGGATAAAATGTTCTTTTTATTTCAGAGTCGTATCAGTGCCAGACACATACCTTGCCCCACATTACAGTGATCTAGATTTTAAAATTTACTTTCGAATGTCACGATCAACAGTGGAAGTAAGGAAACATTTAATTTTTTTAAAACTAATGTAAATCAATGCAATATAAACATTTTATTCTAATTTAGTTTCTGAAGCAGTAGATGCTCAGGGTCTTGTGTTTGAGGGTAGTAATGTTTTCTCAAGTTAAAGAACTAGCTACAAACATTGGTCCATGTTTTGGTAGGCTATTCTCAGAGCCTAATGATTACCTTGTTTGTGCTGATCCGATTGTTCAAGGATTTATGTTTGTGTTTATTAGTGGTGTAACCAATGAATTTGAAATTATAAGTTAACAGTTCTTTGCTAACTGATGTCAGGTACTCATAGCTGAGTTGGCTCAACACAAACTGTTTATAAAAAAACAACATATCAAACCCTAACCTTAGTTAATCTCCCAGTTTTAATATTTTCAGAATCTATGTACAGCCATTGGACCACAGATTTATGCTAGAACCGTCAATAGGGAACGCAAGGTGTTGGCATCTTTGTGGGTGTTAGCAAACTCAGAAACTTTTCAAGGTAAACCTCATGTTTTCAGAATTGGAAACTATTTTACTATTTGAAATCACAATGTTAATCATTTAAATCTCAGTATAACAATAAGCAATATGTTGCTATGAATGTATTCATAAATTGAAGAATTATATTTTCCCAGATGTAGCTGATCGCTTTCACTTGGCCAAAGGACAGCTCCACAAAATTTTCACCAAGTTTTGTAACGCCATTGACACTTGGTCTAAAGATTTGATCCAGATGCCTTCAAAAAGCCAACAGTTGGAAATCGCCAAAGAAATCCAAAACAGAACAACCATCCCAGGCGTGATCGGCGTGGTCGACGGGTGCCACATCCACATCCGAGGGCCGGGTCAGCCCCACAGAGATGCGTACCTCAACAGGAGAGGCGTCCCCAGCATTAAACTCATGGGAACCTGCGACCACAACCTGAGGTTTATTGACGTCTACATTGGGTGGCCCGGGAGTGTTTCCGACGCTAAAGTCTTCCAACACAGCCCGCTGAAAGAATATTTAGAAAGCGGAAACATCGACAAAGATTTTCATTTAGTTGCAGACGCAGGATACAAAAACATGCCTTATCTGTTAACACCGTACCGTGAGGCTCTGTCAGATATACACCTCAATTACAACAATAAACACAGTCAAGTACATTCTTTAATTAAAAAAGCATTCAGACTCCTCAAAGGAAAATTTAATCGCTTGAGATATTTAGACATGTTTAAGATCAAAGATATTTCATTGATTATTAAGACAGCATGCACTATGATGAATTTCTGGATAGAGACAGAGCAGCCTGGGCCTGAAGAGCTGGGGCTATATGATGATACGGTCGATGAGGATGTTATCATTGATGACGATGGTTTGTATGTGAATGTAGAGAATGAGGGGATGGATGAAGGGTGGGAGGATGAGATGAGGGACGTGGAAGCTGAAAATGAGGCTATTTTTAAAAGAGACAAGATCTGTTTGTTACTTTGAACACTGTGAGCAAATGTTGTATCTAGTATAGGACGTAAGTTGTATTTAGTATGGGATGCAAGTTGTATCTAGTATGGGACATAAGTTGTATCTAGTATGGACATAAGTTGTATCTAGTATGGGACAAAAGTTGTATCTAGTATGGGATGCAAGTTGTATCTAGTATGGACGTAAGTTGTATCTAGTAATAAGTATGGCACAAAAGTTGCTATTAGTATGGGGTAAAGTTACTATTAGTTTGGGTAAAAAGTTGTATCTAGTATGGACATAAGTAGTATCATCATGTAATAAGTATGGCACAGAAGTTGCAACCAGTATGAGACAAAAGTTGTATCTAGTATGGCACAGACTAGTATGGCACAGAAGGTGTCATATGACATAAAAATTGTCTGTTGTGGTAAAAAAAGATTTTGTTCCTGACAAGTTGAAATGACACATGGCATGCCTACGAAATGTGCGCTAGTTCTAAGATGTAAAACTGGTTTTAAAATGTGCAGTAAGATTCTTGGCTTTGTCAGCCAATACCTCTTTTACTGCAAACCACGCAGCTCTGACTTGATTCAGGTCAAGAAATCAGCCTGACCTAACAGGTCAAAAAATCAGCCTGACCTAACAGGTCAAAAAATCAGCCTGACCTTACAGGTCAAGAAATCAGCCTGACCTAACAGGTCAAGAAATCAGCCTGACCTTACAGGTCAACAAATCAGCCTGACCTCACAGGTCAAGAAATCAGCCTGACCTTACAGGTCAAGAAATCTGCCTGACCTTACAGGTCAAGAAATCAGCCTGACCTAACAGGTCAAGAAATCAGCCTGACCTTATGGATTATCTTATCCAACCAATAACTTTATTGTATTGTTTTCTGCATCTAGGTGTTCATAAAACAAAAAATACCATTTTAATTATGTTAATAAATTAAAAAGGAAATTTGTTACCATCGTGAGTTTATTGTTTGTTTTTAAAATATGTGCTTAAAAATTAAAAAGTGCAATTATTCATTAAATGGTGACTGATAATTAAAATAAAATACTGATTATAATGATGTTCCCTTTATTTGTTGAGATTTGTCTCCACTTAAATAGATCTTTGCTTGAGAACATTGAGCTTGATGCTATTTAAAAATATTTTGCCTTCTATTTCTAAAAGCTAGGTCATTCTATATTTAGTGAAATGAAAGTATAAATTATGCAAGTAATACAATAAATATTTTAATTGCCACACAGACTTAAATCATTGGCTATGTACGAGAATAATACAAGAATTAAAAAGTCGACTTATGTGTACGGGGACTGGTGGGTTGATGTTCGAACTAATATTTAACATCAAAAGTCAAGATAGGTAGACTATGCTACAAAAAACATTTCACCTGCAAACAGAATGTAGAGTACCTACATTTAAATGGCAGCATCCATTGTTTCACCCTTCCCTCCACAACACATACAGAAGCTCCACTTATAATTAAATCCTGATATCTGTTAATGCAATACAAGTGATCAAAGACTCTGAGGTAGGTGTCATGCATGATTGCCCAATCTGGTCTGACGACCTTTTATAATGTATACAAATGCTGAAAACAACAGCTTAAAATATTTCCGTACAAAAATAAGACTAGTAACCTGAATCAAATTGGCATGTGTCTTGCTCTTGGAGAGAAATTTTTAAATCTTTTATAATATGAATAAGAATAATCAGCTCTTTTAACATATATATTGAGGCAGGGGTTTCTACTGATCCAAATTTGTTTTCTTAATAATAACTATATTGCTCGAGAAGGTGAGTCAAAAACGTCCTTTTTGCATTAGTCCATAAAATCTACAATATATGCACGACATAAATTATAAATAGATCTACTTAAACTCTTCAACGTTTATCAATACCTAATGCAAATGACAGTTCATTTTTTGAAAATAAAACTTTCGTCGTTGGCACAAGAGGAGGCAATATTTCAATAATTTCTATCATAATTTTTTTTAAAATTCGGGTCGATAAAAAAAAGTGATTAAAGTGATTGTTTTCATCATATTTTCTATAACATATTTTCTAATTCATAACATCGCTTGCGTAAAAAGGTGAAGTAATTATCAAACCGAAATATAACCAAATTTTTATTTTTCACTTGTAGAGAGTAACGGAAGTCGAAATTCTACAAGGTTGTGTTGTGATGTATTTTTGTTAGAGCTTCTAACTTTAAAACCTATATTTATGAATTAACAAGAGTTAAAAAGTAGGCATACATCAACTAATATACAATCTGTAATGGAGAAACTTAAAATCACTCGGTTTTTGCCATCTATCAAACAAATGAAGGACATGGTCTTAAATGAAGTAACATACTTAGAAAAACACAACAACGGTCGTTTCACTGTCTCCTCACGACTCATTCCTGTAAGAGGCACCTGGATTAATTATTGGCGTAAGCTTTGGTCTTTCTTAGTTGTAGTAGAATTTAGTGCTTGGAAACAAGTCTTGAGTTGGGATCTCGGTCCAGACTCATTACAACAGGACATTTTTAAGACAGCACACAGTTACAGTACAGCACAGTTTACTTAAAAGTTTTTAAAGGAAAGTGACTGGAAGTTAAGCACTCTATCCATAGTTTAGAAACTACTAGCAATAGTAATAGAGTCTAATAGACAGATTCATTGGTACTAGGTACTACTAACCAGATTCAGCATACACCTATTCAATGTTATTATCAAGTTATGAAAAATTTTAACCAATAGGGCCTTAGCTTCCCTTAGCCTTAGCCTAATTCTCTGTTTACCGATATCCAATATCACAAAACAGTTGTTCATCACCATTGTTTGTCAACCATAGTTCAGTATTTACTGTCTCTACCGTCATTACCCTAACCAAACATTCTACCACAAAAATTATAGGCCGCATTTGCGCGATTCGCTCCGCGTGACACGTAAGGCCGCCTTTGCGCAGTTCGCTCCGCGTTATGCTTAAACTTTACCCTAGGTGGCACGCGATCTAAAAAAAAAACAGATATCAGGACTGCCCGATTTTTTTTTCGTGGTTACAATTTAATGTTGAAATAGATCTAGATCGAGTTTAAGTTTATTTAGATCTCTATATTATTTCAACACATAAGAGTCTAGTACTTGTAAAAAAAAACAGTACAGGAAAGTTTGTGAGGTCAGATGGGTCAGATGATAGTCCTAGATCTAGCAGCAACCTAGCTAAATCACTCTGTCCTTTATAGTGATAGTAGATCTAAGTCTATATTATTTATCCTACGTGAACTTTAAAAAAAAAAAATTAAATTTGCTTGAGGGGGGAGGGGGGGTGGGAGGAAGAGAGAAGTGAAGACAGACTATCTCGAGTGAACGCCTATGACGTATGCTTTAGGCCTGCTGAACTCAGTGACCTCGCCGACCGTGGGCCGTGGTGGGATTTTCCACTCACTGGATAGTAAACGTAAGGCAAGCAAGCAATCACGACAGTGACGATGGTTGGAAATTTTATTAAAAAAAAAAAGAATCATAGTCTACGTCATATTTTCAATATGAAAAAAAAATGTAAAAAAAAAAAAAAAGGTAACCCCGGGTTCGAACTCTGAACTCCGGGTCCATAAATTTCAGACCACAGCTGGCACACTGTTGACTTAACCACAGCGGATGTGATAGAGAAGTCAAAAATAAGCATTTTCAATTGCAAGATGGCGGATCAAACCTGCGAGACGCGTAGTATATTCTTTAGGGGCCACGCTTTGCGAGACGCGTAGTCACTTCGAAAATTATAAGTGAAATCATAGCCTGTAGTGGGGCAGGAAAGCTGTATGTATTGGTACTCTTACAGTGAAGTAACACAAAAAACAAAAAATGTCCTGCACTCTACTAAAACAAGTAGATCTACTTGAAATGGACTAGCATGAAATTTTAATATTTGTTGAAATAAATTAAAATTTCAGTTTATTATGTGTTCTAATTTTAAAAAGGTTGTTCACTTCTTGCATTCCCAAATAACTTGCAGTGTATTTTTGAATAGGGTCAGCTCCATATCTGTATAAATGGTCAAGGGAAGAAGAGGCTATCCTGCCTGAGCATTACAAGAAGAGGTGTAAGGAGTTCATGACCACAGACCCATTACCACTACATTGGAGGCCTTCCAAAAATAGATATAGAGTTGATCCAGATTCTGGAGAGAGGTGTTTTTACAGTTCTTTTTAAATCATAAAAATAAATATTTTATGGTATCTCTATTAACTTGAAATATAAAAAAAATGTATAATATGAAATGTAATAATACTAATAGGCATTTGATATTTTTTTTTGCCTTATTTTTCCAGGATCCGTGTTGTTAATGCCCCAATACCAGTAGTCTTTCCAAAACAGTGTAACAAAGGATTGTGGGGTGGGGAGGGTATCATCTTTGGCTACTACAAGAAAACTGATCCCAAGAGAAAAGGCAAACTTCCAACGTAACTATTTTTAATTTAATATGTTGCATTTGATCTTTTTTTTATTTTCTTGTAAAAATATTTGTATGACAATGTAGTGTTGTGTCAAGTTATCAGGTTGTGGTGTTAGAGCCAGTACTAATGTAGCTTGTGAAATGTAGCTATTTGTGTATATACTATGTGTTGTATGCAAAATAAATAAAGCAGACTAGCATCAAATTCTGCTTAATCCTCTATTTACATCGCCAGTTTGCAAAAAAAGCCTGACATTTGCTTGAAAATGCAGTCTCGAAATTTTGTCATGGTCTCTTGCAACCTGACTGCTTTTCCCAGCTCTTTCCTATCATTTCTGCCTTCTCTAGCACACTGCGTCACCACTTAGTAGTGGTTTACCCTGGGGGTTATATTCCAAGGCCTGTCTGACAGTATCTTCTCCATTTTCTTTCCAGGATTTGCCTATCTGCTGCTTTCCGTCCACACACCTTTTTGCATTTTCTATCTTGGCCCTGCCACTGTATTTTCAGTATATTCCTTAGGTGTTTATTAAGTCTGGATTGATCTGTAGAGCAGGATGGTTTTCACATTGGAGTTAAAGATCCGAATTTTGGTTTATTTGTAGGGATGTGTGATGATTTTTCAGACTTGTCTAAGATGGGCATTTACACATATTTGCTTTTGATATCTTCATCTGTTCCATTGTAGATGCATCAATGTCAGTTACCCATATTATTTGTTCAGCAGCAGCATTAATTTCAAATATATCTTTAACTATCTCAAATTATATATTTTTTTTAAGTTTGCCAAGAATATGGAGACCCTTGTTACAGACCAAGGTGTTATACAGTGAAATTTTGGACAGGTGGATGAGAATAACCTTAACACATCGTGCGCTTTACTTGATAGATCAGTCCTACGGTCTAGATTCCTACATCTTGAAGGTAGTTACCTCCAGATGGTCCTGTGACCGACATTTTAATTAGTTATTTATTTCACTCGGGCAGATGAGGCTCGTTAGCTGGGGACAGCCACTCTTCTAGGAGAGACAACTCCAAAATCAAACAACTGCTGCCTTGTAGTTTGTTCTTGGTTGGACAAAGGCTATGGAAGCAAATCCAAAAAGAAAAGCAGGCTGAAATCAGAGGCGCATAACCAGTTGACACGTATCCTTAATTGTGATGGAGGCGTGGTCAAGTCGGCAAAAAGCTTATGGTTGATAAATTCGAAAAAATAAGAGTTCAAACCCTCTAGCAGAAAAGGCTCGATCCCTTCCTACACTAAGAACGAAATTTCACAGTTCAAAATTGATTTGGGACTCTCTAGCAAATTCTGATTCATCATGAAACAAACACCATGTGTCAAATGTAAATTCCAAAAAATAAATGTTTTCATTTCCTTTTTGCTTCAGATTTTTATGGGATGGGGGGAGGGAGGGTTGTTCCTATGTTAATTTGGGTGGATGCTTATGTCTTGTTTGTGTACTAGGTGTTTCTCTGGTTGTTTTGATCCCAGGACTTCTGTGTTGTGAAGCTGGTGACTTAATGCCTATGCCATTTGGGTCCCCAATAGGTTGTGTGTACTAATCCTATATAAAATATGTTGGCAGACTAGTGAAGTGGAACTGTGCTCTCAACTTGCCATGACGCTCAAGAGAGAAATGCTGACAGCACTGGCTACCAAATCCTTGTACCCTGATGACCCAATCAAAAGAGAAAAAATCTACCTCAAGTACAAAGAGTTTGTTATCCCTGTAAGTTGTTGCACAATTTTTTTTTTAAACTAATTTATTGATCCATGTGAAGAAAAATTTAAGAAATGTTCTGATTTGGTATTTAAATTCCTGCAGGAAGAAGAAGCAGAGTTTATTGGGCTGACTGTGACTGAGGCTGTTGAAAAGGCCAAGAAAATTCAAGCTGAGCAAACCGTTGTCCAACCACTGAAAGACTTGTACATTTCTCAGTTAGTTAAGAAACTTATAGGAGACAATGGGTCATCAAATCCTGATGTGCACAATGTTAACTTGTCTCCTAAGAACAATAATGAGACCAGAGTTTAAATGATTTTGTAATTTAATAAATTAGTCTTTTTCATTTTTGACTTGGTTGGTTTGTGTATGAAAGTCAGTAAGAATATAAAACAAAGTGTATGGGAAAAATAGTTTATTACAAATTTTAACTTGGCATGTCAGTTATCTGCGATACCAAGATAACTTGTTGCATGGCAAAATTTGTAACAGAAAATGTTGAAGCTTAATTTCATCAACAGCTATACATTAAATTGTATATTGCTGATCCTTAACATGATTTATGGATAACTGCCAAAACAAAAACAATACCGGTATGCATACTTTCTGGAAAATTTCATGGTATAACAACAAGGTACTGGAATTATTTTGTGTCAAAACTTTAAAAAATTGTTTTTACAGTAATAAAATACAGAGAAATGGAACATATTTACATATAAATACATTTAAGTGAAGTGATGAAATGAGAATGGAAAAAAGAAAGCAATGTAAAGACGAGTAAAGTGATGAGGAAAAAATATGTTAAGCAAGGCAATGGAGGGAAAGTGTGAAGTTAAGATAGATAATGTTACAAAGGGAAGAAAGAAGAAATTTCTGAACAAACAGAAATTTGGGGCAATTAAAGCCATAACAAATCACCAGGATTACGTAATTAAAACTTCCCCACTCGCTGTCTTTCATACGCAAGTACATACAAATATTTACATAATAAATAAATAAAATTATAAATTAAAACTATGATACACTTAAATCCTAAAATCACAGAATTGTGTTGTGCTTGACAACTTGTTAGGGAAAGATTGTTATACGGGAATAGTTAACAAAAACAAAACAGAGCCAGTCTTTGGCTTTAAGATCATTTTTCAAAGACATTGCGGAGTTTGATATATATTCTATCAGTGTATGAATTAATACATTGTTTACAAACACTGCAACCTTAAGAAAGCCCAAGGTGTGATTTAAGATAGCAATAAAATAATGAAAAACAAATTTATAAAACATTTGATTATTTAAGAAATGGACCATTTCATGTGTAAAATGAGCTTGTTAAAATTGATGTTGATTTATACAAGTTAAAATTGAGTCTTTGTTCACATAAAAAGTTGGATAAAACAAGGTACAGTTCAGGTGGCTTAAAAAGAGTTTATCACAAGTTGGCTAGTGTCTGGATCTTTTCTGTTTTCTTGTAAAAATTGCTGCTGAATTTTTTCAGTTTGCGCACCAGTGACTTTTTGTCCTTGATCTTTGGTGGCCCTGTCACAACACTGGGCGGCACCGCAAACAGTGACCTGGCTGCTAGAGGGTCACTTCTCACAGACAAAGGTTTCTCTGGCGTCTGCTGGGCTGCCAGTGTCGTCACGCCCTGGTTCCGCGTGGCTGGTCGCAGGGTGTGAAGGCCGCGCATGGATGGACGTAATGCCAGATTGACATGTGGTGCTGGAGTGAACGGCCGCTTGAATTCTGGTTCTACAGCAGGGCTTGCCGCCTGGGCCGCAGCTGTGATTGTTTGTGATGCAGTGTTATTAGGGGTGTGTCGAGATAATTCTAGCCTGGCGTGAGGCGGGGTAGGGGGTGGTGCAACATACCCGCGTTGGTTTGTGCAGTAGTTGGTATCTGAAGACACACAACTGCTGACAGTGCTGGAGTAGCCATTGTGGGTGCCCACGCTTTCAACAGGGGAGTTGTAGGAGTTGTAAGGGACGAATATACCACTGGAGTCAACGCTCTTTGGGCTGTCGGTTAGAATGGAGTCCAGTAGATCTTGGTTGACGTGGGACTGACCTTCACCCTCCACACTGTTTGCAGGAATACTGTCACCCGTGGCCTGAGATAGTTTGGCTGGGGACTGGTGGATGACTCGAGGCCGGCACCGAGCTGCGGTGCAGGAACTGCTTCCACTGGTGCTGGATTTACCAGGAATGTGGGGCCTGTCGTCCAAGACTGAGATGATCTCTGGCGTTGTGTCAGTGTCAGACGGGACCAAAGAGTGCGTGGCCTCGACCTCCGACTGGCAGTGTAGTCTCAGGTTGGGCTCGGATGCGGATATTAATTTGGAATAAACTGTACCGGAGGATTCTGGAACTTCGCTTGCCTCGTTGGAGGAGCAGACGATGGAACCTTTAGCCTGATTAAACATAGCAGATGCTGTAGAGACCTTGGATGATTGGCTGGAGTAGACCTCGCTCACCTGCGTATTCAGGGTCTTCAGGAATGAACAAGCTCCGGCCACTATGAATTTTTCAGCCAATGAACTTTTGGTGCTGGTTCTCGGGATAGAAGATTGTGAGTCTGATCTGTTGCTGAAGGCGCCAAGAGTGCTGTCTTCGATCATGCTGTTGATGTTTTGACCTACAAGACAACTTGTGCGATTGGCGATTTCTATATGTGACACCATAGCACTGATCTCTAGAGTGTCATTTGGGTTTAAGTTTTTGGCTCTCTCCTGAACAAACTGATGTTTATGTGTTTTTGATGTTGGCCTTTTCTTGACAGTTGTGCTGCGGATGTAAGATTTCTCTAAGTTACATGGACTTGATTCCTCATCAATGGACCAGGTGTAAACACTCCCAGACTCCGGGCTGGTTGAGTCTGGTTCTAGAATTAAAGTAGACGACGCAATAGGGTGACTTTTGCTTCCATGGCTGCTGATGGATTTCCTGGATGTGTGCTTGGATGATGGACGAGAGCTGGGATTGCTTGAAGATGACCGTGACCTTGACGAGCTTGAGACTACGTTTTCACTGGGATAGAAAGGCCGACGGTGAGTGGCTGGTTGGGTTGAAGATTTGAGTGGGCTGGCGCGTTTTTTGGTGCGGGCGACAGCTCGTGGGGCCCTGAGATCAGAAGGCGGGGGTCTGAAGACAAAGTTAGTTGGGGAGCTCTCGGCACCTTCGACTGTTCTGACTAGCAACATTCCGGTGCCTGGGTCTTCCATTGTGTAGGGGGAGTCGTCAGCTGAGCTTTGAGACCTGGATGGTTTGGTGCTACAGGTGTCAATCTTATGCTGTCTGTCTAAAGTAAAATCACAATAGTAGGCGTCACGATCACGTAGTTCTTCCTCCCGGCTGGGTAGGCTAAGCTCGGGTGAGGTCTCACTGGACTTGGGGTAGGATGTGTTCAGGCTGTTGGAAGAGGTCGTGTCGGAGTAGTTCAGCTTGATGTTATAAAAGTCAGAAAATGGTTTCCTTCTGGGTGAGCTGACAACAACGGGGGACAAGCTGTTGTTTTCTTTATCCTGCATCAGCTTGCGCATGGCTGGGGACTGGCGCTTCTTTCTCCTCATCCTGTAGCTGGTGGAGCTCTTGGAGGGGGAGAGGGGGGAGTAATGGCTAGGGGTAGAGCGGGTGGGGCTGGAATCAGGGGTAAAAGACAGCCTTTGTCTGGCGGATTTGGTGGGGAATGGTTGGTAGGAGGTGCTGGGTGTCATGGGCAGGGATGTTCTGTCATTTCCTTTTCTTCGTTTGGATGCACTTCTTGAAACAGATTCAGAAGGGCTTTGTTCATAAAGTGTTCTTTGGTAACTGACTTGATGAACGCTGTGTTCACTTTGTATAGAACTATGAACTGAATCAACATATCTTAATGTTCTTTCAGTAGATGCTTCCAATTTGGATTCAGATGACGCCCACATTGTTCCGAGCTCTCTAGATTCTGATTGAAGAAAAAGGCGTCCAATCTTTGAATCTGTTAAAGGCCTCCTTGGAGGTATGGGTGGTCTTGCGGATTCTGTATCCGACTCAACACTGGTGTTTTTATCCATGAGGTGAGGTTTGTAGTTGTCCGTGTTGTAGTTGTGTCTGTCAAGGTAGTGCTTGGCTGGTCGGGGTGGTGTCTGGGGTGGTAGTGCCACCACGAGGGGGTCGTGGTATGGAGAAGGTTTCGGCCTGATGTTGCTAGCTGAGGATGGTGTTGGAAACGCTGGGGATCCAATTGTGCTGGAACCAAGAGCTTGTCTGGTGTATACTCTCTGAGTGAGTACAGGAGAAGCAAAGTTCTGTGTACGACATGCTCGCATGACCTCTGAACTGTCCATTCTGTCAAACAGCGAGGCAAATTTAATGTCCAAAGAATCGGATGATTCGGATGTGGGGAGCTCTGGCGTGATAGATGACCTGTTTTGACTTGGTAGAGCTGGTGCTGAGTCTTTTCTGATGTGCGATGCTTGCGGCGAGTGCTCCGAGCCTGTGAGGCCGCTGTCTGTTGTCGTGCAGTAGGGTGTTTGTCTACCCGTGCTTGATGGAATGTGGAGGTGGCTGGTCTTGTAGCCGCCTTGTGAGTCTGGAATCTGGTGTGTGGGGGCGGGCGAGAGCTGGTCAGGTGGGACATAAGGGGACAGGGACACGGAAGTGTTAGTGAAACTGAGCTGGATGGGTGCCAGAGGAATGTACGAGTCATCCGTGGCGACGCGGTGGTCACGCACTTCAGATCCCATATAAGACACCTCGTGGATGGAGGTGACGTCAATGCTGGGCGGGGAGTTGTCGGAATCTGTGAGCGAGTTTGCCTGAGCCAGAAGCTGCTCGATGAGCATGTCGGCGTAGACGGAGGGGTCGCGGCGTGCATGTCTGCTGATTCTCTGTGGTGTAATGTGTGAGGGGCTCTTGGACATGATTCCAAAGCTGGTGATCAGAGTTTGATGCTTGGAATGAATAGAACTGGGCTCATCAAACAGCGGGATGTCTGCATCCTTGATGCCACATGCATTCAGCAGCTCCAGAAATCTGCCCTTAATGTTCTCCACTGTCTCTTTGAAGTTCTTGCCACTTGTTTGTAGAACTGCCTGCAAATACAAGAAAATAGAAATTTAGAAAAATATCTATGGATGATGTAGACTACCAGTGACAATGTATAAATGTAAACATAAACAAAACAAAGACTAGTTGAAGCAACTATAGTAAATGATGGCTGTTATTTTTGTTTAGAATAAATAATCGCAATGTTTACATCAGTTCAGTATCTCTTGTATTGTACACACAGATACAACATGACTGTGTGGTATAGACAAGACATTAGAACATCCAAAACCGAGTTTTAAAAAAAAAGGCCAGCATTATATAAACAGCTATGTTACATATGCCGAGGTCACAGAAACAAGTGAACTTCACTTGCCCCATAGACCGTCAGGTTTGAAAGGGAAACTTTACTTTATGTTAGTGTTACTAGTGTTACTATGACCATAATCTACTTACATCCCTGTATAAATCATCCAATCCTCCAACAGAACAACATTGTAAACAAACATGGTAGAACATAGGCTTCATTGATTACAAGACAAAACTAAACGACTTAAAACTAAACTCTAAAAAACGTTAAAACCCTAAAAACGACAGCTGCGGTTAAAAGTGTCCCGCCTCTAAAATCCCTGGGGTGTGTAGTGTCACCGTGCTCTAGCACAGGTCACCAGGTGAGAACTACTTACATCCATTACACGTTCACAACACATCAACAATACGAACACGTTCTTGTCTGTGTTTGTGTACATCCACAACACAATCGTTACATTTTAACTCCACTTAACAAAGAAGGAAAAAAAAACACATCCACTATGGCTAACAACCACTGAGTGTGTGTGCGTCTGTGTGAGTGTGTGTAGCGCACTGACCCCAACAACTAGGCCATCCGTCGGGCCGTGAGCGCTGGCCGACCGCGCGCGTTTGAAGTCCCGTCCACTGGCGCTAGTGGCGAGTGAGTGACATTTGAATGGCCCCGTGAGTTATAGAAAGCAGGCCACGTATCTAAGACACTGCGACAGTTGTTCTTTGTTAAGCCCGCGGGTGTAAAAACACCGGAGGGGGAGGGGTGAGGAGGAGGGAGGGGGGGACAGACTAAGACTGACCTTTCCTGGACAATTTGAAGAGTGCTTTGTTGAACTTTGTATAATTACCAGAGTAGAAATATCAAGTGATATCAAGTAGACGACATGACTATTTTCAGAATAATCAGTAAATACGTAAATGAAGAAATAACATGACTTAAGATCTGAAACATTTTGGTGGACGCCGCTGGTTTAAAGACATGGGCGTATCAATGACAATATGGGTATACAAATATACAGTGCCCCCACCCACCTGTATAAAGCAGTGTACTATTCCTCAGTTTTAACGAAGTTTTGACGACCATAAGTCTATTAAAAAACTTATGGTGGTTAAGAATCAATCGATGAGAAAGAAACATTTACTTGCGTGAGGGGGTGTTTGTGTTAGTGAGTGAATATTTGCTAGAGAAGGGGGTGGGTAGGGGTCGCTAAGGCATTAAGATGACTAAATTATAAGTAAAAATGTAGTTGAAATAATTATAAGAAGTAGCTTGTTTCTAGACTACAACCCCGTCCCCATGCCTAGATGCGACGCCCCCACCCCCCCCCCCCCCCTCCCAACTAGATGCAACACCCCTCTCCCAACGAGACAATGTGTGAAAGATGTTAGTCCCGCTAGCCGCCGAGAGGTGAGACTAACGTGGTCATCTGCCGGACACCCCCGGGTCGGCCACGGAGATAACGATGACTCCCCTAAGGCCGCCTAAAGAAATGGAATGAAAGCGCAGATCTTATCTTTTGCTTCGGTTATCGCGCTTCGTTCTCTGAAGATGGCGGCACGGGTTCCGAATAACGACAGGAGGAGGGGAGGGGGTCTCAGACTTTTTTTTATGTTGTTTACAATAGGGTCAAGGTGTGGGGTGTGGACAATTAAACCAACACCAGAGATCCGGTTGCAAAATGTCCTCGGACAATTATCTGTGTAAAATGACCAAGTGTATTTTTAAAAAATACCGAGTAACTTGACAAAAAAAATTAAATTTTTATATGAAATAAATCATTTAAATCTATATTTAGAAAATACTATTTATGTAACGTTATTTTAAATTAATTTTAATGTTGAATCTTCCGCGGCAATGTATTAATTGAAAACACAGCAAAACTAAATCAACCAGCACGAAACTTCAGTCAATACACTGTACTCTCGCTACACGATCTGACAACTGAGCCCTTCCCCCCCCCCCCCCCCCCCGTAATGATATGTTGATTAGAACCAGTAGGTTTGACCAGTCGATAGATGGATGGTCAAGTTAGAGCAGTAGACCGCTAACGTGGATCACCACAAGTATACCATTCACATAACAAAGAACATTCCTCAAGATCTTTGTACATGATATTTTTTTTATACCACAGATTTAAAAGACTGTGACAATTTTAGTAGCCCCCCCCCCTTCCACCTACTCACACTTTCTTATCAAAAGTTTGTCCTTGAACTCGCGCCCCGCACGTGCCTGTACTTGACTTCTTGCGCTCAAGTTCAAGGACGCATCATCTGTCTACAACGTGCCTGGGAATACAATCGGAGGGGAGGAGAAAAAAAATCTTCCGTCACGGCTGACGGCCCACGGCTAGCCAACACGGACACGTAACGTTCCCCTCTTCTTCCAACGAACACAGAACGACCACAGTACCCCCAACAACAAACACAACCGCTCACAACAACGACCACAGTACCCCCAACAACAAACACCACCCCTCACAACAAACAAGCTCACATCAACATGTTGGTTGACTTTGTTGACCTCAAATAAGATCAAGCGGCTAATACTGTCACACTAGGATTAGCGCCGATAACATTTGCCTTATTATTTCACACAAAAAACCCTCCAAATACCTGTATTTAGTATATGCATTTAATATATAAATCTATGTGGTTATAACTTTCGCATATATTCGTATTCGACAAAGTTGGCATGTGAGAAAATTCAAAAAATCAAGTAATGTGAACTAATATGTAAGCGTAGATAAAGCAAATTTAGCATGAAGAGTATTGGAGTTTGTTAATTTCCGAAGCACATCTACACGAATACACGACTGACCAGCACACTAAACCGGTACACGGCTCAGACCGGCACACTAAGCCGGCACACAGGTACAAGCAGATTACGTTACCGGAAATCTTCAAATCCAGTTAGCGTTGAAGAAAAAAAAATTTAACCGGCGTCGCTTCGAATTGATTGGATAAGACCCGTCAATACTCCGGTCAACCGGTTCAACGCACGTACAAGTGGACCTCAGCGCGGACGCTCAAGAGGTAGCCCTCCAAACGTCTTTTCATACAAGGTGTTTGGATATCTTTTGTCCGAGTTTCGCCCCGAAGGTGTAGGCGCTGGCCAGAGGAGCACTTGGGATTGTCCACTAACCAAACGTGGGGACGGACGCCCCCGTAAACACTTGAAGATAGTGGGTGCTCAAATTTATTTCTTGAAAGTCACGTGGGAGGTTGTTGATAGTCGCCGAACCCACAACACGGGGAACGTCTCGCTTCCGCGCGAGGGCGCTCAACAACTTCATGCGATTAGTTTTGAACTTGCAAGGGTTCAAATCCCTATCAAGGGTGGTGGTTCGAAACCTTATGGAGTGGGGGTTCAAAACCATGTTAGTGGGGGGGGGGGGTTCAAAATAGTATCATGGGTGGTGGTTCAAAAACCGTATTGGGTGGGATTTTTTTTAAACTTATGGGAGGTGGTTCAATCCCGTAACGAGAGAGGGGGGGGGGGAATTCAAAACTATAAAAAGTGAGGGTGTTCATGACTGAATAATCGTTTGCTTGCTAACTTTAGTGACTTTAGATTTTATTTGGAATAAAAAAAATAAAATACTTTTAAAATATGTTGTGGGAATGTATCAGTACATGTATGGGAATGAGTCATTAGTTAATTAGTCTTAGTCTCTCCCCCCCCCCCCTTCCACCATCGCACGTGAGCTGAGCCGATTTGTTACACTCACGTGACGCCCGGAAGAGCCACCGCGTTAGGTTACCGCGGCGCGTGACGAGTGTAAGACGAGGCGGCTGTAAGTGTAATGGATATAGCCCACTCCAGCAATACTCAACAACATAAACAAACACCCCCCCCCCCCCTCCACCACCCGATCGTTTACACGAAACCAATGCTCCAAGACCGTACACAAACACATCTAAAGACGGGCCCGAATGGCAGAGAGGGATGGGAGCATTGAGTGAGCAGTGGTTCTAGAGAAAACAATGCTCGTCTTGTTGTGATACAGGTGGGGGGGGGGGGGAGGCGTGAGTTCCAGACTACACAAGTCTTTGTCGTCTACGGCGTTATCGCCCCTCATCAGCGCGAGTTAAAGCACCGATTTGACGGGAGAGATAAGCAACGACGGTGTGAGTGTAAAGTGGGGGGAGAAGGGGGGGGGGGGGAGAACTCATACCCCCTTCGAGACAAGCCATATCTGGCTAACGCGAGCAACCATAAAATACAGATGGATTGTCCAGGGGAGAGAATGTTTGGTTGAACTAGATAAAGATTTTATGTCGTGTACAACAGCGGATGGTTATCTTTTAATTATGAGCAATTTTAAAAAGTCGACAAATTATAACGACAAAAATGGCGTCAGTCAATTATTATCAAATTAATGACTTAAATTAATTTTAAAAAATTACAAATTTAAAATAGAAGAAAATATTTTTTTTTATTAAAAGGGAGCTAATCAAAAAGTTAGACAACTCTTTTTAACTCGAGAAATGCTGGTGTTGACTGACCATAGTCCGATGCATCAACATATCGTTAACCATGCAATCATCAACAAGCAAACACACGTGACGTTGTATCTCCCGAAAGGTTTAACCCACACAATATTTGTGTTGATCTTGTGCTAACATTGGATCAGGGTGCCGGGAACAGCAAACCCAAACAGCCCTTAGATGTTGGATTACCGTTATCGATAAATTAGGCTCCGTAATAATAAAAACAGTTTCTACCAGGCATCTCTTCGTCCGCCCCCCCCCTACCGAAATGGCATTTATATACAAAACATACCCCCCCCCCGAGTCTGGAAGAAACGGATCAAAAGATTAATGTAAAATTAATTAATTTACAAAAAATTTACAAAAATGCATGGTGTTTTTAACAAATGGATTGACTTTTCGACTAATGATGCCGTATTAATTTAAAATTAATGTCATTAATTATTTATTTTAAATATTTAAAAGATGTTTTAACAAAAGGGTAGCCTATATATTTTTTATTTAAAATATTTATAAGATGCTTTTTAACAGAAGGATATGTTTTGACTAATGATGTATTAATTTAAATATCGCCATGATATTTTTCAGTAAAAAGGATGGGCGTTTCTACTAATGATGCCGTATTAATTAAAAGTTTCCGCCTGACTGACTTTCAAGTCGCGGCTCAATGAATCCATACGCTCCTACACAGAAACACAAAGCGAGCCCCAATGAGGAGACGTTACAATAAGGTTTTCTGGCCAGATTTCTCAAGCATAAAGAGTGTG